GGGTTAGGGAAAAAAAATTAGGCTTCTGAAGCTGACTGGGTTCATCATTTCCTCACTGTGATTTTAGACAAGTCATCAACTCTGTGTCTCTGCGTCCTCCTGTGATGCAGGTGCATGATGTCTACCTGGGAGTGCTGGAGAATAAGAGTCCCAGGATATGGTGGGAGCTCAATGTTCCTGTCCGTCAATTTCCTTTTATAAGGAAAATTTTCATCCCTACCATCCCTGCCTCCCACTGCTTGAGGAGCAAAATGAGGCAGGATTTGTGATATTGCTCTGAAAATTGAACAGCACCAGCACCATGCAAACAGAAGAGATTATGATGCAGATGGCTGTGTGTTGAGTGCTCCCATCACATGAGAGTCCTATGATGCTTCTTCCCTGTGCTGCAAGGGCTTCATCTCCTAAGCACTAAATGCTAAACTCCCCCTCCCACGCCCATCGCCACTGTCCTCACGGATCCTTGCAGCAGCTTCCCAATCGGTCTCCCTGTCTCCAGCCTCACCACCCCCAACTCTCCTCCACCTAGAAGCTAGAGTGGTGTTCCCAAAAAGGAAACGTATTTACAGTCAGTCTGTCTCCTGCCAAATTGTAATTTCTGATGGAAGGGGCTTTCTGGGTGTTATTCGCCCATGTGAGCCCGCCTCTAGCATGGAGCTTGGCACAGGGAGGGTTCAGCATATGTCTGTTAAGTGCCTGGTTATGGATGAAGCCTGTAGGTTCTACTGGCCTATTGCACTTTATGTGTCCTGCCTGTGCATGTGGCATTCTGGAGCCCTCTCCAGCTGGGGCAGACCATGAGCTCCAGAAAGTTCACATCAAAGGGTGGCCCTGGCTCCATGATGAAGAGTACAGGCTCTGAAATCAGACCCAGGGCTCTGAATACCATTCCCACCTCTCACCAATCAACTATCAATTCTGTGCCTCAGTTCCTCATCTGTAAAATGAGAAGAATAATGCCTGCTAATAGAATCATTATTTGTATTAAATAGCTGTGAATACTGCCTGAAATCCTTGCCAACCCACATTATTTTGAAACAAGTCTCATTTCATCCATAAATATGGCAGCATGTGTCTCCACTAGATACGCTCTCATACATGCAATACCACTATCACACCTAAATATTAACAATAATTCCATAATATCATCCAACCAGTGTTCAAATTTCTCTAGTTGTCTCATAAACAACTTTGTCATTTTGTTCAAATCAGGACTGAATAAGGTCCATCTATTGCAATAGACTAATAGGGGTACTGGGATTCTTTTGTTGTATAGCAGGCGTTGGCAGACTTTCACTGAAAAGGGTTAAATAGCAAGTATTTTAGGAATTGTGGGCCATTCTGTCTTTGTTGCTATGACTGAAATGAATGGGTATGGCTGTGTTTCAATAAAACTTTATTTATAAAAATGGGCAGTTGGCCAGATTTGGCCCCAAGAAGGCAAATTGCTAACCTGTGATGTACAGGCTTGTTCAGATTCAGGTTTTTGTTTTGTTTTGTTTGGTGATAACATGTTGGTATCATTGTGGATTTCCATCAGAAGGTTTAGAATGTCAGGGTGTTTCTCTCTCCCTCTCTCTCTACTATTATCAGCCAAGTATATTCGGTGTTCAGAACCATTAACTCTTTAAGGGAAGCAAAATGGCAACATTCTAATTCCATTGTCCCTTCATTTATTTGCTGCAATACTTTTACAAAAAGAAACTTGCCTTCATCTACTATTTGCTTATACTGGGGTATAGTTTGTACAGGAAAGTCAAGATAATAAATGCTTGATCCCTTTCCTTTCTTTGCCAGCTTTTAAAAATAATGAGTTGGGCTTCTTAGCATTCTTCAAAGATAATCAATGTACTTTTAAAAAGAACATTATGAGCAAATAGATTTCAACATAATTGAAGTGTTTTGAGGCATTGCAGTTACTGCCTTTAATGATGTTTAAATTGTCTGTTTTGCCCCAGCTTATGACAGGACCTCAGAAGTCTTTGATAACATCCTTGCTTTCTGGTGTGATGAGATATTCTAGGGTTATATTACTCAGTTTATAAAACCAGCCTTCTCCAAAAAGCCCTGGTTCTCTCGGGAGGAAAGTGATATTTAGTAACCCTAATTTGATACTAAGGATACTCACTGTTTCCAGAACTTTTCAGTAGTTATATCAAAGAATCATTTTTTAAAAGGGCCTCAGAAATACAGAATTCAGAATACTGAAATTTCTGAATCAATTCAGGACCACAGCTGGGGCCTCTATGGGTAAGGTAAGTACATGGGAGGTGAGATCCCCGATGAGCAAAGCTGTTTGCGTCCCTCGGCCCAGCCCGATCAAACTTCTGGATGCCATCAAAGAGATCTGCTTAACCTAAGAATCATTGTTCTTTAAAAGAAAAACAAGTTCATTAATCAGTGGGGAGCCTTGGACCAGGATATAAAGTTAATCAACGACAAGGGACTCCCTTCTATTAAAAGGACTATGTGCAAACAGGCATGCCTGGAGGAAGCCAAGGACCACGATCAAGGAAAACAAACGCCTTATGATTCATCTAACAGGCTTGGTCACAATTGCAGGTGTAAAAGGAACTCAGAGTTGGCAGTGAGAGACAACAAACATCAGTGGAACATGGGACAGTGACTCTTTCTGGCTGACCGCCACACCTTCCTACCAGGAATCCTCTATTAGTCATTTGGGTTGGAAGGTGAGATCCTTCCTCACCCTCCACTGTCCAGAGTCATGTTTAATGGTGATGTTTGTTCTTTTCAAGGAGAGGGGGCCCATCTCATTGTAGGGCTTTTGTTTTCCTGCGTGGACCCAGGAAGGCCGTGGCTGAAAGCGAAGGTGCTGAGAGGCTGTAAGGAGAAGGGAAGGAGGTGGAGGCTCTGGTGGAGTGAGGAAGAGCAGGGCAGTATCCCATGTCCACTGATGTTGGGGGTGAGGTCAGGAGGGTGGGTCTCACCTTCTCCTTTCTCTGCCCTGCATGGGTCACCAACCAACACAATGGGAAGGGGATTCTTGGGGTAGTGCTTTAAGGTGGATACAGGTTGATATGGTTTAAAAATCAATGCTATTCAGTGAGAGGGCTGCCATTTATCATTTCAGTTCCAACACCTGCAAAGTAAAATTATTGTCTCCCAAATCTACCCAGCACCATAGGCTTGCATACGGATCAAGTGCTCTAAGACCATTCATGAAAACAGAGACAACCAAGGAGACAGTCACCCAATGCTGTCCCTTCAGCTTGCATTATTCTCTGACAAGACAGCTCTGCCATCCATTGAAGCCCGTGTGCTCCTCTGTCCCTGGATCTTCATGCATCCTTTTCCCCCACAAACCCCAACCATCCCTCTTAAAATGAAAAGCTCAGGAATACTCACCCTAGACTGAGTCAGGAGTTTCAAGTTCAAACCTTAATTAGACTTGATTTTTAAAAATTTCCCTTGTGGCTTTTAATCATTAGCGAGAGCAAATGTCTCTAGTATTAAACTTATATGTCACATGGCCTCTTTATCAATGGCCCTAATACATTTTATGTGCTTTTCAGAAAGATTATATTCTTCCCAGAGCTGTCTGAATGTCTTTTTGAACCCCTCAAGACTGGACACCAAGGAGTATAAATAATTTTTCTTTTTTTTTTTAAATCACACTCCCTCTACAACCTTGAATCTGAAACGTGAATATATGAATAGAATGGCTCTGGAATAACTATGCAGATTTATGGAGAATATCAATTTAAGTTACATCACGGGATCCAGTTATGCTTTTCTTCCTGGAGCTGGGGATTTGTTAAAGTTGAGATACAGTTTGGGGAAGTGTGATTTATGATTAAAGTCATCTGAAAATCAATACAGTTGAAGATCTCTGACATAAGGGTCCCTTGCAGAGCTAGACGTGATTCTAAAATTGGGAACACAGGAATAAAAATCAAATCTTAAGTAGAAGTAGATGAAAATTGCAGTGATTCGGGGAAGCTTGGCTTCTAACTCCCCACTGTTTGAAGATGGGCTTGTTTGTTTTTTAAAACAGCCAACATAATTCAGCTGGAGGAGGATTTTCTATTCCTTGTTTCTGTAGAAATCGATGGACTTTAACTTTTAAAATTGTCCCCCCTGCCTTTAGTATCTAAAATAAAATAACCCTCGTTTTTTGCGTTACTGAACGCATTTCTGCGTCTTGGTGTCTATGGCTAAACAAGTATTAATCAGACAGTTCGCGAAGAGCTGGCTGGGGATAGGAGGGGAGGTGGGGGAGAAGGGCAGGAATCACAGCAGGGTGGACTCATGGCCCTGATTTGGGATCCTGACAGCAACTTACTAGATGGCCTGAGGGCCCGGTGCCAGGGGAGAGAGCGGGTTCCAGCAGCATCTGACCTGCGTTAGGGACAGGGGCGCGGCGGAGGGGGCGGAGGGGGCGGGGGTTGGGGGAGGTGGCTGGGAGGAAGCCCAGGTTCGCAGCCAGCTGCGGGCAACGGAGGGAGTAAGTGGAGGGGCAATGAGGCTGGGGCCAGCCGCCAGCAGCAGCCACGCCCCCCACCTCCCCCGATTTTTTAGGGAAAATTATCCAAAGCTCTCGCATCCTCCTCTGCCTCCTTCCACCCTCCACCGTCCCAGCCTCCACTCAGACCTCTTTAAAACCACTCGGGGGCCGCCGGGGGATGAGGCCGGGGAACTGGCAGGACTCGGGGCGGGGGTTCAGGGGCAGCGCACGGGAAACGCCTCGAAAGCAGCCAGACCAGGCGACTGAAATGAGGCGGAGGCGCTTGGCGAGGGGAGGCGCAGGCTCGGAAAGGCGCGCGAGGCTCCAGGCTCCTTCCAGATCCACAGCTCTCCTTGCTGACCCCCGAGTCACCCCCAGCACCCCCCGCAGCTGCAGGGCGAATAGACCCCCGCGGACCCTCACGCGCGCCGGGCCGGGGCGCTAGTTCAGGCCCTCGCTGCCCCTTTAAGGGTTCTCGAAACTTTCCCCCCTGGTATCAGATGAGCCTCGTCACATCCGTTGGCCGCGGCCGCTGGGGCGCTTTCCGAGGAAATTCGGGACTCGAGTTTCCCGGGGAAGAGGCGCGGCCGGAGCCCGGCGAGGGTGGGCAGGGCAGGCGCAGGTGGACCCCGGCGGCCCCCGAGCCCCGCTGTGACCTTGTCCGCGGGGGAGGGGCTGGGCCGCTGCGGGGCAGCCGCGGCCGCCAGAGGGGGCAGCGGAGAAGAACTTGCTCAAGTTGGAGGCGCGGGCTGGGGCGGCTCCGCGCCTCCGCGCCCGCCTCCCCGGCCTCCGCCTTCTCCCCTCCCGCGAGCCTCCTCCCCTGGGCCCTCCTCCCGTCCTTCCCGCTGCCGCCGGTCCCGGTGCGCGCCCATCCCTGCCCACAGCCCCGCGCGTCCGCCGAGTCGCTGAGCCGCGGCTGCCGGACGGGACGGGACGGGCTGGGCTGGGCGCGCCCCCCGGGCCCCGCTGTGGGCATGGGCGCGCTGGCCCGGGCGCTGCTGCTGCCTCTGCTGGCCCAGTGGCTCCTGCGCGCCGCCCCGGAGCTGGCCCCCGCGCCCTTCACGCTGCCCCTCCGGGTGGCCGCGGCCACGAACCGCGTAGTTGCGCCCACCCCGGGACCCGGGACCCCCGCCGAGCGCCGCGCCGACGGCCTGGCGCTCGCCCTGGAGCCTGCCCTGGAGTCCGCCGCGGGCGCCGCCAACTTCTTGGCCATGGTGGACAACCTGCAGGGGGACTCTGGCCGCGGCTACTACCTGGAGATGCTGATTGGGACCCCCCCGCAGAAGGTAGGGCCCCCCGGCTGCTGCCGCGGGCTTTTCGGGCTCGTTGGGGGAGGGGGCCGTCCAGAGACGCCTCCACGCGGCTTAGCGTCGCCCCCAAAGCAGCAGCTGTCCCCGCACAGAAGAGCGGGGAACGCAGAGGGGTTCGGGTGGGCCGGGGAGCGGGGGCGCTCGCTCTTGAGTCGTGGAGGACGGCGGCCCCCGCCCGGGGCGCACGGAGGGGGTGTGCGCGAGTGTTTCAGAACTTGTGAGCTCCCCCTCCGCGGGGCTGGGCGGGAGAGGAGACCTGGAACTTGCCGCCTCCAATAACGTGATTTCCTTCTTGCGGGCGACACCTACTTCCAGCGGGAGACGGAACGGTGGGCCTTGGGCGACGGGCTATTATGGGGAAAATCACCTCGTGTTCATACTCTCCCGTCCCCCGCCCCCCACCATGCTGTCTCATTGCTAAAGAGGCTCGTGGCTGGCTTCCAAAGGCGCAGTACCCTTTAAAAAGGATTTATGCATGAGCTCAGCTAAAAGCAAGCCGGTTCAGAAGTGGCTTGCTTGCTGCTCTGAGGAAGGAGCAGCGTCTCCCCTGCGCCCGCTTTCCTTTCTCCGAGTTGGTTTGTCAGCTGTGTCCTCGCTTATCCGGCGGCCCTGCCCCTCTGCACGGAGCGATGCACGCACACGCGGGTGTGCGGAGAGTGTGAAATGTAGTCCAGCTACCGGAAAAAAATATGGGCTGAGTGAGGTCCGGGGACCAAGTGGTATCCCGATTACAACAGCTTTCTTTTTCTCTTACTCTGATGTTCATTTACTAACACTTTTTGTAGCAAGAAACAAATGTTCCCAAGCACAGTCATCAAAAAAAGAAAAAGAAAAAAAAAGTCCCAATTGCTCTGCTCCCCTCCTACTTTCAAACTAATCCAAGTGGGATTTGAAGTCCTTTGCTCAATTGAATGCACTATTTGAGGATACTTTATTTTTATTTTTAACATTGTCATTTGGGTTTTAATTCAGCTATGATTCCGCCATAAATAGAACATACTCATGACTTTTGTATAATTCTCATTAAATTATTCAAGACTTTAAGAGGAAAGACATGCCATGCTAATTCTTTTAAAAAAGGAAACTGCCGAATAACTTCTGTAGTTGTTTAATTAGTTTAGGGGGAAAAAAAAAACCTTCAAAAGCGTATTCAAACTTTGATTCGAGTTGCCTTTCATCTAAGTCATGGGAAGCCACGTGAGTGATCTTTGCCATCTCCAGGAGTGGATGGTTAGAGCGAGGGAAAGGGAATCCTCATCAGCTGAGGGAGCTTAACTTGGCCCTTAAGATGTGGTCTTGGTGCAGCCAACACGTGGGAACACGTGCCTGGTGCTGAGAACCTTGTAAATATCGCAAGCTATTGAGGAAGAACCTCTTCTGTGACCTACAGAGAATCTTTTGGAACAGGCCTTGAAAGACTCCCCATTTGAGATGTGTGCTTTGATGCAAGGGAATTCTCTCTACTAAAAGTAAATTTGGGTGGTCTGAGGGCTATAATAAAAGAAGGCCTGAGACCCTCCCTCCGGAGGAAAGGGGAAAGGAAGAAGCCTGAAGAACGACTAAAAAATACTTAACTTTGGCAATCAAAAAAATAAAAAAGCTTTTATAAATAATAGCTTGCCTGTTAATTAATTCAATGACCTTTACTTTAAAATGATGAGGTTTAATTAATTTAATTAACAGAAATGTATTGAGTACCTAGGCTCTTGTCTTCACTATAGCCCAGGCAGTAGTTGGTTCAAGATTACGTCTCAACCATTAGCATGTTTCCAGGGAGGGCTGCTTCTACAGAGACAGATTTAATTTTTACAAGTGATGGGGAATGAAATATCCTGTACCTCCCTCCTGGCTTGATTTAGCGATAAGCTGCTTTATAGCAAAATCTTTCCAAATGCCTACGGTAAACTCAGGCTTTACTGAGGCGTTAGGATTCAGTGCCAGCCTGTGTTGCCCTGAAGTGTCTCTGGCCACCAGCAGGGTGTCAGCAGCCAGCTAGAGGGGGCAGCAGTGAGGTGACTTCTGAACCTGGAGTGAGCTTTCCTGCTCTATTCATGGCCAGGAGTCATGCATTTATTCTCTGCTGATTCTCTGAAGCCTAAAATAAAAATTGCTTAGGTGGAGAGAAAAATGGAATTGTAAATTCAAGCAATAAATAACCAAGAATTTTTCAAGAATTAAGTAATGGTCATAGACAATGTCTGAAAGCTCGGTACGGGACAAGCCCTGCGCTATGCGCTGTAGGTGTGCTTTCCCCAGAATCCCCACCCACCACCCACCACCCCTTGGGGTTCTTATATGCATTTGGGGATGGGAAAACTGAAGCTTGGAGAGACTGAACAACTTTCCAGGGCAACAGGACAAGAAAGAGGGAGGGCCAAAAATGGAAGCCAGGGAACTGAACTTCAGAAGCCAAGTTCTGAACCACCAGGCAGATGATGACTTCCTTCCCTTCATGCCTCCTGATCTCTTTGGTTTTGGCCTCAAACTACTCTTTCCAGCCAGAAAGCCCTGAACTTACACCCCAAGGTGTTAGGAACTTAATGTGTGACTGCGACTGGACCCTCTGGAACTGCCTGCTGTTCCCCCATCTCCTCCTTCCTTCAGTACTGCTGAATGAGCAACAGAATGAAGGGCTGGATCCAGGTGTGCATGGGAGAGGCCTTGAGAGGAGAGGTTCAACAGGAACCAGAGCCCTCCAGCTTCCCCTCTTCTATGGGAAAGTCAACTGTTGGAAGTGTGCTTGTTCCCAGAAGGCTTTAATCAGTAACTGGAGGTCCATTGTTTGCCCAGTGACTCTGTGAGGAGTCACAGGCATGTGCCCAGAAGCCCGCGTGAGAGCTGCAAGGCAAGGCCCGGGTGCTGGCAGGAAAGGCCACGTTGGCATGGAGATGACTGCCAGGTTTGTGGCTGATCCCATTATGTGGGTTCTTCCGAACTGTAGAACTTTCGAACAGTTCTTTGAACCAGCATCTGCTTGAACCATGCAATTTGGTCTTATTAATAATAATAACACTATTCTAAAGTGATTATAATTACAGCAATTTCCATTATTAAAAAAGAGACTTTCATGCGAACACAATAACTCCAGCTGAAGACAGGAAAAGGTGTGCAGCCATATACCTTGTAGTAGCTTCAAAAAAAGCCTTTGGGATTTTTTTTTCTGAAAGATTTTCTGTCATCTCCACTAAGATGGGTAAAGCAGACAGCAAAACTATTCTCATACCTGAACACTTGAATGTAAAGGGCCACCTAATTATTTTGACGAATCTTATTTTAATCATGGTGCGCTCACTTGATTATCAGCCTCGTCGTACACAATTATTTGGAAGACTTGCATTGAAAATATGGATCGAGCATATGGCAATAAGAGTTTGTGTTCTTCAGAAGAAGCCATCCAGGCTCCCCAAATGAAGCTGACTGTAGTTGAGGCTGAAAACAAGAAGGTAATCCCAGCAAGAAGAACTCTGATGGTGCCACCTGAAATGGTAAACTATTAAAGACAATGAGAAAAAACAATTACTGAGGATGAAAGAATAAGAAAGTCAAAGCCAGTTTGCCACTAGCTCCTTTGAGTGAGAAGTGGCAGCTCCTGGGCTTTAGAGAAAGAATTCATCAAAGACTGTATTACAGAGGACTGGGAAAGGTGAGCCAAGAAATCAGCTTGAAACAATAAGGAGGGACAGGAGTCCGAGAAATAGTTTATAAGATCAAGAGCTGACCTTAATTTCTTGCTGATGGAGTGTTGGGCACTCAAAGGGCATGTGAAGCCCTTTGCGTGGCTCACCTCGTTTCATCCTTGCAACATCCTGGAAAATGTGCACAATAATGTGACTTAATTTTCAGACGGGGTAACCGAGGCTTGGAGAGGCAGAGTAATTTGTCCAGGGCCACACTAGTGAAGGCAAAGCAGGGCGGAGCTGTCAATCTGGGTCTGCCTAGCTCAAAGTCTTTGCACTTCACTGCGGTTCCTCCTTAGGTGCAGTGTTTTAGTTATAGTAACATTTAAGAAGAACCATTTTCATGCTTCTGGAGATGATGTAGTTTGACAAGAAGCATCTTGGCCTGATTACAGGTCCTGAACACTGTAGGGTCACACCTGTGACCATGGGCAAGTGTGTAACCTCCCTCAGCTTCCCTTTCCTCAGCTGTGGATAATCTTCTAATTTCTGCATTCATATCCTGGTCTCAAAACTATAGAAACTTGTTCTCACAATTCTGCAGGCCAGAGTTCAAAAAGCAAGGTGTCAGCAGAAACACTGTCCCTCTGGCGGCTCTGGGGGAGGATCCTTCCTTCCCTCTTCTTAGTGTCTGATGGCTGCTGGCATTTTTAGGCCGTTGGCTGCATCACTCCAATCTCTCCCCTCCTTGTAAGTTTCTGTGTCCAGATTCCTCTCGTATAAGGAGACCGTCATTAGATTAGGGCCTGCCCTCCTCTAACCTGACCTCATCTTTACTTGATCACATCTGCATAGACCCACTTTCTGAGTAAGGTCAAGTTCACAGGTACCGGAGTTACGTCTTCAGCATATCTTTTGGGGAACATGATTTAATCCACAACAAGTTCATTCTAAGTTTTTCATTCTATGGATTTTTTTTTCTTTGATTCTGCCTCACCTTTTAATTGTTAATAATTTCAACTTGGGATTCAAGTGTAATTTTTATCACAGGAAATAAACAAATGATGACTTTCGTGCTGTATTAATATGAAGCCTGTGGCAAGAAAGTGCCCTGGGGCTTAGGGTGGGAGAAGGAAGAGGGGAGGGTGTCTGCTTCCCTTCTGTACTTCTGTATTATTTTTCCTGCTGGAGAGTAGTTGCTTAAAAATTTAAAACATCAGGCCGGGCACGGTGGCTCATGCCTGTAATCCCAGCACTTTGGAAGGCTGAGGCGGGCGGATCACCTGAGGTCAGGAGTTTGAGACCAGCCTGGTCAACATGGTGAAACCCTGTCTCTACTAAAAATATGAAAATTAGCCG